ATATATTCTCACGTAGCATGAAAGTCTTATAATAAAGAGAGAGAAGTAAAAAGGTCCCAAATCAATAATCTAAACTTATATATAAGAAACTAGAAAAAAAGGAGCAAATTAAACCTAAATCCAGTAGAAGAAAGAAAATACTAAAGGCAAGAGCAAAAAACAATGAGAACTAAAAACAGAGATCAATGGAGAAATAAATGAAATCAAAAGAACTATCAAATGATAGTTCTTTAAAAATGTCAATAAAATTTATAAATCTCTACCTGCAGTGTCCAGGAAAAAGAGAGAGAATACAGAAATTACCAATATCAGGAATTAAGGAGGATGTATCTTTATAGATATAGGTGCTACAATATTAAAAGGATAATTAAGAAATTATGAACAACTTTATGTCCATAAGTTTAACAATTTAGATAAAATTGACAAACCCTCTGAAAGACACAAACTATCAAAACTCACACAAGAAGGATTAGACAAGTCAAATAGTCCTAAATCCATTAAAGAAATTGAACTTGTCATTAAAAGACATCCAACAAAGAAAACTCCAGACCCAGATGATTTCACTGGGAAAGTCTATAAAATATTTAAAGGGGAATTAATACAAATTTTATACAATCTTTCTCAGAAAATAGAAGAGAAAACTTTCCAATTAATCTTGTGAAGTCAGGATTACCTTGATTCCAAAACCAGACAAAGACATTGCAAGAAAAGAAAACTACATGCCAATATCTCTCATGAAAATAGGTGCAAAAATCTTTAATAACATATTTTAAAAGCTGGACTCATCAATATGTAAAAAAGATAATATATTATGACAAAGTGGGATTTTTTTTTAGAATGTAAGGCTGGTTCAACATTCAAAAATCAATGTAATTCAAGATATTAACATTAAAGAAGAAAAGCCAAATAATTGTCTCAATATATCCAAAAAAATATTTGACAAAAAATATACTACCCATTCATGTAAAAAAAATAAAATTTCATCAAACTCAAAATAGTAGGAAACTTTCTTATCCTGATAAAGAACATCTATGTAAAATCTACATCTAACATTATATTTAATAGTGAAAGCCTAAATGCTTTCTCTCTAAAACTGGGACAAAGCAAGAATGTCTTTTCTTATAAATTCAGTATCATATTGAAAGGGCTTGCTGGTGCAATAAGACAAGAAAAAAAACTTAAAAGCATGTGTATTTTAAAGAAAAAACAAAACATTCTCAACTGTAGCTGACATGATTGTCTATGTGTAAAATTCCAAAGAATCTATAAAAAGTCTCCTAGAATTAATAAGTAAATTTGACAAGGTTATAGGATAAAAGGTAAATGTTAAAACATCAAGTGCATTTGTATCTATTACCATATAGCAATGAACAACTGGAAATTGAAATTAGAAAATAGTACTCTTTAACATAGTACCAAAAAATGATATTCATAGGTATAAATTTAACAAAATATATACTCAGAATCTGTCTGATAAAAACTATAAAACATTGATGAAATAAATAAATGAAAACTATATATATATACACACACATACACACAACATACGAAATGTTTACAGATTGGAAGACTCAATATTGTTAAGATTTCAATTCTCCCAACATTGTCCTATATATTCAATGCAATCCCATACTCTCAGAATTTTTTGCAGTTATTAATAAGTTATTTCTAAAATTTTATTGAAATGCAAAGGAGCTAAAATAGGCAAAACTATGAAAGTTGGAAGACCTAAACCACCTAATTTCAAGACTTATTATAAAGCTATGGTAATCAAAGTAGTGCAGTATTGATGATACAAAGATATACATAATTTTCATAAATTAATGGAAAAGGATAAAGAGTCTAGAAATAGATTCATACAGATATGATTTTCTGCCCAATATGCAAAAACAACTCAATGAATTTAAAAAATAGTCTTTCACACAAGTGATGTTAGAACAACGAGACAACATATGCAAAAAATAAAACTCAGCCTACACTTTACACCTCATATAAAAATTAATTCCAGATGGATCATGGATCTAAATGTGCAATGTAAAACTCTAAAACTTTTAAAAAGAAAGTTTTCGTAAAAATCTTTACAATGTTGGTTAGGCAAAGCATTTTTAGACATGACTCAAAATCAGGATCCATGAAAGAAAAAAAATCGATCATCATCATAAAACTTGGGCTGTCTTGGTCCATTTGGACTGCTGTAACAAAATTCCCTAAACTGAATAACTTTTAAACAACAACAATTTATTTCTCACAGTCCTGGAGACTGTGTTCTCACGGGGCAGAAGGGACAAGGCAGGTCTCTGAGTCCCCTTTTGTAGGATGCACTAAACCCATTTGGGAGGGCTCTGCCCTCATGACCCAGTCACCTCCCAAAGGCCCCACTTCCTAACACCATTGGTGACTTGGATCCAACATATAAACTTTGGGAGGACAAAATATCCAGATCATAGCAGGCTCTGAGTAAGATACTGTTGTGTGAATGAAAAGGCAGGCCACAGATTGAGAAAATATTTGCAATTCACACATCCAACAAAGGATTTATCAGTAGAATACATAAAGAACTCTCAAAACTCAACAATAAGAAAGTAAACAACACAGTTTTTAAAGATGGAAATTACTTGAACAGACATGTCACCAAAGAAGATATAGGGATGACAATCGAGCCTATGAAAAGATGATTAACATAATTAGTTATTTGAGAAAAAAGCAAATTAAAACCACAATAAAATAGATACTACTACACATGTATTTGAATAATTAACAGAAATAAAACAGACAATTCCAAATGCTGACAAGGATGCAAAGTGATCATAACTTCCCCATGCACTGCTAGTGGAAACGTAAACTAGTATGGTCACTTTGCAATTTGATAGTATATTATGAAGTTAGACATTAACTAACATATGATCCAGAAATTCCACTCCTATGTATTTCCCCCAGAGAAATGAAAACTATGTTCTCACAAAAACCTGTATGCAAATGCTCATAATAGCTTTATTTACAATCATTTAAAACTGAAAACAACAGAAATCCTTCAACTGGGGAATGGATAAACAAACTATTCGGCAATAATAAAGAATGAAATGATGATACACACAACATGGATAAATCTAAACGCCTTATGCACAATGAAAGAAGCCCGACTCAAAAAGCAACCTACTGCATGTTTCCATTTCGAAAAGGAAAAACAACATGGACAGGCAACCACTGTTTTTGCCAGAATTTGGCGGGGGTTGGGGGGGCACTGTTGACTATATACAGGTAGGATGAAGAAATGATGTGAGGTGGGATTGTGGTAGTGGCTACATGATTCTATGCATTTGTCAGAACTCATAGAACAGTACAGCAAAAAAAGAGTGAATTGTACTGTAGGCAAATTTAAAATAAAATAAACCCATAGGGATTTAGATGGGGTGAATTTCATCTTATACTTCCATTTGCCTTATTTTGCTTCTAAAAAAATATTTCTTACTAATCACTATCCATCCACTTACCATCACTATCAGTGGCACTATGTTGCTTCCAAACCTTGATTATCATCTCCCCACCTTTGACTTTTTTCCCACCTTCTTCATTGTCCTTACCACACCATTTCCAATTGTTCACCACATTCTGCCAGTTCTTCCTTTGTATTAATAATATCTTTTATATTCACCTTCTCTTTCCGATTAGTGTTGCCATGATGCTTTCCCCCTTTCACCAGTCTATAGCTGCATCCCACTAGGTAGTTGGCTTGCCTAAAGCAATCTTTGTCTTTTTGTGACATCATCTTTAAATATTTTCTTTCTTCTAGTCAGAAATCTTTTATGGTTTCCTCTTTTCCGACTTATCTGTCCCCACTGCTTCAAAATTATTGACTATTCCATATTCATGTCTTAAGAATCTTCATTCAAGACAAATTAGTAATACTAATAAAAATAATAGCCATTGTTTATTGAGTATTTATCATACTCAATTATTTTTTAATTTGTTATACTGGACACCATGATCAGTTATCTCTTATTATTTCTGTCTAATCCTGACACCAATCCTATGAGCTAGATTTATCTCCAATTACAAATGAACAAATGGAGGCCCAAAGAAGTATTAAAGTTTTGTAAGATATCAAGTGAATGGTTAAACTAGAAATAAACCCAGTCTTTCAGTTCAGATCCTCTACTCCTAACTTCAAAATTTTCGTGGTTCTTCAAATTTATTTCATTTGATCCTCTATAACATTCCTTCTGGTATCATTTCTTCTCCTTAAAGATCATCTTCTTCCCAGATGTTTGCCAAATTCTTCAAGAGGTCTTCCCTAACTACCCTATGCCAACAATTATCCCCAGCAGATGTTTTAAAGTTATATTTTCTTGCACAAATCATAAGTTGCTCCATAATTATTCTCTAAGATGTTTCATATGAGTATGCTTTGTATTTCCTCACCCCACAATCGTATTCATTCATTCACAAATGAAAGTAATTTACAGATTTAATGAGCACCTATTATATGTTTAGCAATGAACAAGATAGATCACTCCTTCAAGGAGCTCACAGCTAATTCCCTGATAGCAGAAACTGTGTTTTCGCTTTTGCTTTCACCCCTTCCTCCATTCCCCTAAGCACCTATTACGCTGTATTCCACATGCTTTCAGGGTGGATGAGTAAATGTGCTGGTTTGCCGTAGTCACAGATACACAACACCTCAGAGTCGGGAAGGGCTATCACAGCCCTGTGAGGTCTTATGTTGAAAAATTGCTAATGATGCCATCAGGCCCAGTGTCCTTCAGGGGAGAAAATGAGCGCTCGAGGCAAACATGTAGAAGCTGCAAGCCATTTGTAATCAGAAAGTGAAGTGTGCAGCGAGGGAAGCTTGCCAAGCTCAAGGGCTCAGTGGCTTTAATGAAGGGATGGTATTACCAGTGGAAATCAAACTTGCCTACCAGCTGGATGATCTCATCTTCACAATGAGCTTCACTGGCTGATAACCACAGGATCCCGAGAAATTAAGCAGACCCACAAATTACCTGCATAACATTCTGGCTAGATATCCGAAAGTTGAATTAATTGCCTGAAAATAAATGAATGGGGTAGGGCCAAGAATTGCCTCATTAGTATTCAGCAACACTGCTGCCTTTTGAAGAAAAGGAGAGAAGGCGGGGGAGGAAGGGAAAACAATGGGAACTGGGGAGGGAGGTAGACTGAGAAGAATAATGAGAGAAATTGTTATTTTACAAGTGCATTATGGGCACCCTGTTTATCACACTAGCTGCAGAATTTCCTGGTCTGGCCCGACTCACTATGTCTCGGTAGACGACAGCCATGCTTTCTGATACAGCAGACACACTCAGGAACCGAGCAATTGACACATGTGCAAAATACAAATCGATTAACCACGTGGACACTTTCTCTTTATTTCCCAAGTGAGACTTAGCGCATTCAGGTGTTTTCTCTTTGGCAAGAAGGGGGCAATGGAGAAACAGTGCCCAACAGGTGCGCCACTCAAACATTTGCATCAGTGGCTTTATTCCAGCAAATGCTACAGCTAAAGCACGGATCCTCCAGGCATCATTACACCTCCTCTTATAGCATATTTAATTTCATCAGTTAATAATTCTGTTCAGTCCTAAAAACCGCAGTTGCAAAGCCATGCCGTGTGAGGCTTGTGTGCACAGTTTCTCCAAAACGTATAGTTAGAGGGTGCAGCTCCTGGGCAGCACCAAATAAATAGCCGTGCAGAGATGATGACTCGTGAAGGAGGTGTTAAGGGCAGACGGTGTGTTATGGACTAAATGTTTGTATCCCCCCTCAGATTCTAATGTGGACATTCTAACCCCCAATGGGATGGTATTCGGAGGTGGGGGCTTTGGGAGGTGATTAGGTCATGAGGGTGGAGCCCTCATAAAGGGGATTAGTGCCCAAAGAAAAAACTAGGAGAGAGCTTGTTCATTCTTTCTCTCTCTCTCTCTCTCTCTCTCTCTCTCTCTCTCTCCTCTTGCTCTCTACCATGTGAGGATACAATGAGAAGGTGGCCATCTGCAAACCAGGAAGTGGGTCCTCACCAGACACCAGATCTGCCAACACCTTGATCTTGGACTTCCAGCCTCCAGACTCTGAGAAATAAGTGTTTGTTGTTTAAGTCACCCCAGCTACGGTATAGTAACCCAAACTGACTTAGACACTGTGCCAGACACTGACATTGGCAAACAGCTCCCAGAAAGAGTTACCAACAACTTACCAGCTATTTCTTCCTGAAAAACCTGGGGAAACTTCTCTTTGATATTCCAGTCACTTCCTAAAGTCAGGTTTTATTGAGGATCACTGACATCCTTTTGAATTTTCAAAGCCCTCCTGCACCAATTTAATCTAAACCCTTTAAGATATACCCCAAAGCCTAAAGGCAAAATTGATATAATTTGGCTTCATTCATTTGTGGGCTGCTTACTTTCATTGTGTTTCTGACATGGGTGGTCAGAGACACCATCTCTTTTTATGATGTATGTGCTTCGAGTAACTTCCAGCGAAAAGGCTTTTCTCCATTCTGAGTCCTGCGAATATGCCTGTCCAGGAGATATAAAACTGCACAACTGAATTCTCTTTGCATCTCAAGAAAGATTTCATCTAATTATCCTCAGTGCAGCTTTTTGTTACATAATTAGATGGTATAGCACCTTAAGATCATGTAAAAAAAAAAAATCCCACTGTTTTTATATTCCCCTAAGTTCCTTTGTCTTTCACACATCATATTGGCTCTTATTTTGCTCATACTTTTTTATACCCCCAAAATGTAGTTGTATGCTGGCAGTAATCTTAAAAAGCAAAAGTGTTCTCCCTGATCCATGATTGATCTTGGGTGAGAATGTCTGCTTTACTTTCTTGATATCCAGTAACATAAAAGTGAATATGTCTTTTTTTATCATGGATAGCAAAAATATTTTCAACCTCACTTCAAAACACAAAAATTTTGAAGTGAGAAGTCAATCATAATCAAATATGCATTGAATATTTATGTGGGGCACTGGTCTATGCACCCTGGGATCTGTATTGATAATTACATAGAAGAACTAGAAACCCAACTTGTGTCATGGATGTTTTTCTCTATTGCTTATTTCAAAGAAGTTGGGCCCAGATAATCATGCCAGTAATTCAGAAGCTGCTACATATTTTTCCAAAGTCTGTTCTAACTCTATGCATATTTCAGTTGTCTCAGGTTCAACTTAAAAATTTTCATTTTGGGAGGAGTATGTCAGCCCCAGGAAATGAGTATATGCTTTTATGTTTGTCCTTGACTTTTCTTATTATTTTGAGCTCCTTTATCAGTTAGAGTGCTTTGGGCTGTAAATATTTAATATTAAAAAATCCATCCCACATCAGCCTAAATAAGGTGTTATTGGTTGACCTGTGTCCCCTCCCGAATTCATGTGTTGAATTCTCAACCCCCAGTACCTCAGAATATGACTATGTTTAGAGATAAGGTTCTTACAGGGGCAATGAAGTTAAAATGAGGTCATTAGGGAGAGCGCTAACCCAGTATGACTGATGTCCTTATCAAAACAGGAAACCTGGACACACACAGAGAATGGCATGTGAAAATGAAGGCAAAGATCAGGGCAATGCTTCTACCAGCCAAAGAAGGCCAAAATATAGCAGCACACCACCAGAAGCTAGGAGAGAGGAATGGAACAAATTCTCTTTCACAGGCCTCAGAAAGAACCAACCTTGTAGGCATCTTGATCTTCTAGCCTCTAAAACTGTGGCACCATAAATTGCCGTTGCTTAAGCCTTTCAGTTTTTGGCACTTTGTTACAGCGGCCCCTAGCAAACTAATACACATGGGAAGTCTACTATCATGCTATAAATTTCCCTGTCAGAAAGTAGTCTAAAAGGCCACCAGAAATAAAACATCTTTAGAACCTATACGTGAACGACTTTCATGGTTGCCAAAGCCTACTCATACCATGAGAGCAAAGAGTACATGTTGGCTGGGAGAGACACACCTTTGGTCAATGCAGCACATAGGCAGATGCAGAACACATCTTCCTTCAAAATAAACACATAAACCTTCAGAATAAAATTAAGTAGTCTGAGAAGACTCTGTGCCAAATGGTCCCTCTAATTGCCTTCTCTTTAACTTTTGGGCTCTGTCTGATTTCTTCACTATATTTACCCACACTGCCTAAATCCACCCATCAGAGAATCATGTGAATTTAAAAACATTCTCCTTTAAAAAATAAATATCCACCCAGGCGCAGTGGCTCAATAATCAAAGCGCCATAATCCTAGCACTTTGGGAGGCCAAGGCAGGAGGATCACTTGAGGCCAGGAGTTCAAGACCAGCCTGAGCAAGAGTGAGGCCCAGTATCTACAGAAAATAGAAAAATTAGCCAGGCGTGGTGGCATGTGCCTATAGTCCCAGCTACTTGGGACGCTGACACAGGAGGATCACTTGAGCCCAGGAATTTGAGGTTGCAGTGTTGTCATGGCACTCTAGCCAGTGTGACAGAGTGAGACTCTGCCTTAGAAATAAATAAATACATAAATAAATGAATATATATCCTAAGGGAGTTTCTATCTATTACTACTCATACTGTTAGCATGGACAAAGAGAGACTTGAGGTTTGGGAGTGAGAAGGGGTTAAAGTCAGTAAGAAAGCAGCATAGTTTTTCCACATTGCACACTCAAGAGAAGTCAAAAAATCTAAGCCCTTTATGCTGTGGTCCTGAGATTTATTCATCCAATTGCTCATTCAACATGTATTTGTGTCATTCCTCTAGCCATATTAAATACAAAGAACACAAGAATAAAACAAATGTGGTGTCTGTCCTCACTGAGCTTAGAGTTTAGTGGGGGAGAAGTGTATAAAAAAAAAACATAAAATTATAATACAGTGTGGCAAGTGCTAGAAGAAGGGATGTTTAGAATTCTGTGGGTCCACATAAAACATATATAATCTGTAATCTGGTTTAGAGTGAGTCAGGGGCAGTTTCCTAGAATAAGGTTTTTCTAAGCTCAGACCTGACAAATAATTACAAAATATTCAGGCCAAAAGAAGTGTGGGAAGGGGGAGGATGGGAAGGTCATGGCTAGTGGTGAAAACCATCTCAAGAATTACTGGCTTGATCCTGAAAAAACGGGGAAGCATGAAAATAACACTAAAAGATATGTACGTTAAGAAAAATCACTCTAAATTATCCAGACCTTACCAGATAGAATAGTCAAGTTGCCAGTCATTCTAGGCAGGCCAAAGAGACCATAGTGATGTGGTAAAGTATTAAAAAGTCATTTTCTTCATGAATAAAAACACCATGACGTAACCTCTGGGCAAAATAATAGAGCCTTGTCAGTGAGGATCATTCTTAAAACTACAACTGTTTAAAACATGATTTTAGAAATAGCACTACATGTAGAAGGTCTAGGTACTAAACTAGCAGATGTTTTCTAAATTAACTGAGGTAGTCAGTCACGTTAGCAGCCCACGACGAGCCACGCCCTCCATGTTCCCAGCCTTGTATAGCCTCCTCCCCTTGAGTCTGGGAGGAATCCATGGCTCGCTTTAACCGAGAGAGTGTGGCAAACATATTGTGCAAGTCCTGGGCCTAAGCCCCAAGAGGGCCTGACACGGACAGGCTTGCTTTCCTAGGTTGTCTAGCCACTCTGCTGAAGAGACCATGTGGAGGGACCACATGGAGAGGAGGCCCTGACGTTACAGGAAGAGAAAGTCCCAGCTGCACTAGTGTCCTAGCTAATCCTCACCCCGGATGGCCCACAACTGAATGCAGCCACATGAGTGAGCACTGGAAAGAATGGCTGGAGAACCACTGAGCTGAGCCCAGTAGAGACTGCAGAATTGTCACAAGTAAAATAATGGTTGTCTGAAGCCACAAAGTTTTGGGGTAGCTTGTTAAGTGGCAACATATAACTGAAGCACTTACCATCATCCTTTTAGAGGCACAAATAATAACAGTTTTTATTATTATGCACAACTCCTTGTGTCAGGAAAGGAAACTGAGAAACAGAGAGGTTAAGTGACATGCTCAGAGTTCTGCAGCACCTGCCCCTTCACCACACGGCCTCTCACAAAGCCCTAGTCTCAATTTTCTAGGGCACAAGGGGACAAGGGGAATGGAATGCAGTAGGAAAATGGAAACGATCTGAAATAAGAATGATAATCATAAATATTCTAAAAAAAACTGCGGACACTGGTCAGAAACTTGGGTGTTGGCCTTGGGGTAAATAGAGAGCTCTCTGCCCTTTTATTGTATTGCATTGTCTATCATGTGTGTGTTCACAGGGCCGAGATATCTGGGAAGTCTTTAGTAGAGAGCAGGACTACTGAAGACGGAAAGTTGTTTCCACTGTCTGCACGTCACTCTCACTTCCTCATTTCATACTGTGTGTTTCTAAGATATTTTTCAAATCTTAAAGCTTATGGTCAATTGACAGCACCAGGCACCCAGTTGACACCCAACCTGCTTGCACAAAAAGATAACACTTCAGAATTCTGGGGGGGACTCGTTTTCCCAGGTGAGGCTTTACCCAAGATGTCTAATAAAAAGGTCTCTCGGGTTCTTTCACATCAGCCCAGGAGCTGGTGCCTTCTGAGGCAATTTGTAAATAAGTAAGTTACCCTATTCTCAAAAGACTGTAGATGGAAACACTTCCACAAAGCAGACCTAATTTTTCAATCTCACCTTTTGTAACTGGCGATGAATGAGCTATTCTTCATGTTCTTGTAGCTTGACAGGAACAAGAAAGTGTACCAAATCATTAATTCTCTAATTTGCCCACATAACATAAAGCCAGCTGGCTTTTAATATTTAATTAAATTAGTGTGCTCCCCGACTGAGTTCTAATATTCCAATTTCAATTTTCAGCACAAAGCTAATATACAACCAAAACGCACTGAGTGATGTAGAAAGGGAGAATGTGACCTTCATAGGATAATGTGAAAGTGTCTGCAGATGAAAAAAATCCTTTATTTTTTTTCCCTTAAGCAGGATAAAATGTCTAAAGTTAACATTCTGACTAAAAATATTGTATTCTCTTTTAAGAAATAACATCGTGTGGTAAAAACACGTGCACATTTGGGGGCAGTTCTTTTTTCATTAATTCACTTTTCAGCCATTCATGTCTCATGCCTATTGTATGCCAGATATTGATTGTACTGGGTGCTCAGGTGTTAGGATGAAGTGTACTGTCCCTACTCCCACAGGGGTTCATTGTCTCCACTTACGAGGGACCTTGTAGCCAAGTGTGTAGGTGAGATCTTGAACGAGCTTACCCTTTGAGCTTCAGTCCACTGTCTATGAAATGAGTATATTAACAACACTTAGCTCACAGATCTCTGTGAGGATTAAATGAGATCATGGCTTGTGAAAGAGCTTTGTGCAATGTAGAGTGGTAATCCAATGATGAGTAGAAATCATGAGATATTTTGTGCAGGTTTTTTGCTGTTGCTTTTGTGTGCATTTGTACTTATGGGGGTGGGCACAATATGACTGCCTATTTCCTAACTGATCACTTCTCACTCACACTCAGCAAAATGTGTTTGTCTGGCCCCAAGAAATTCAATCTTAGGCCAATATGTAATTCTTATGAAGAGTTTCCTGCCCTGAATGCCAGGGTCAGCATTCAGGGCCAGTTGTTTCTTGTTTGTTTTGATTGGATTGGATTATGCCAAATTTAGGGAAAAGGTTTTTCTTAGCTTTTTGAGGTGATTTTATCCCTGCGTGTGTTTATTATAGCTGTTGATTGTTTAGTTTCTCTCTATAATATTGAGCATATTTTCTTGCTTTTTAGGAGAGTTTCAGGGTGCTGTGGTACAAAGATGACTGGTGCAAATGATTGGTGAAAACACCTGCAAAATACTCAGTGAGGATGTAGAAAGGCCAGCTGTGGGTCTCACACTGTGGTGTGTCTGGCTCCACGTGGTACTCATGCAGTAGGCCTACCTGCCCTAGACTAACCTGCGGGGTCAAGGTCAATAGATCTGTAATGAGGGTGCACCATGGGCCAGAGTTAGGGCTTTCAGAGCCTTAAGCTCATAGTCTCACACAGAACCCAAATCTCTGCTTCTTTCCCGCCTTTGCATTGTGGCTTACTGTACAACTGCTCACCCAGTTTCCCAGACAAGTATTTAAGAGCATCCTTCATTCCTCCACTGTTACTCCTCCCATCCCATGGATAAACTTCTAGTATTACCTTGGAAACCACGTGGCTTCTGTTCCCTGCTTTTCATTCTACTACCACTACTTCAGGCTCAGCCTTCATTATGTCACAAGTGCATTATTAGAATATTCCACAAACCTGCCTACTTATGATGTAATGCCAATGGGATGATATACAGCTCCTCGGAATGGAATTCAGCTGTTCTTATTGAATCCCCAACCCAGGCGTCCTCAAACTATGGCCCACAGGCCACACGTGGCCCAAGGAGGACATTTACCTGGCCTGCCGGGTGTTTTTTGCCGCTGCTGCCTGTCCTGCTTAGCAGCCGACTTGTCCTGGGCTCACAGTGCGCACATGTGGAATGTGCGCTGCACTCTCCAACGGCTCTCCAACGGTCTGAGGGACAGTGAACTGGCCCCCTGTTTAAAAAGTTTGAGGACCCCTGCCCCAACCTGTCTTTCTCACTTATCTCCTGCCAACTACAACCCCACACTCCTGGTACCAAATTGTGAAGCTGCACCAGTTGTGTCTTTGTTGGTGTAGCTGTCTCTACTAGGACTATCCCTTCTACCCCCACTCATTCCATCTAGAACCCCACCTCCTATTCTTGAAGTATAAATTCAAATACTGCCACTTCTCTATAGCTTTTCATGACCCTCCAAGGCAGGATCAATTGTTTCTATCTCTTTGTCCCTGTGCCCACATACATAATTTTTTTAAATTTATGCATTAGTCCTTTCCATTAAATGGTGAAATGTGGAAGAAAATCTTCCTTCTTCCTTCTTCCTCCTTTGAAAATCTCGCTATTCCCCCTATCTAGAAAAATGGCCCTTTGCCAGGCTCATGTAGATGCACATCAAGTACTTAAATTGAATTATTAAAGTGATAAATTGTTTATCAGTCAAGCATTGCATCTGCCATTCCTGAACCATATAGTATTAAGATTCATTTAAAAAGTAACATTTGTTATTTTTCTGATTGTAATGATAATATTAATTCATTGTAAAGTTTGGAAAATATATAAAAACTGTAAAGAAAACAAAAATCATACAATAAATCCAAGAGATAGCTAACATTAAAAAGTTGATGAATTCCCTTTCAGTACACTTATGATGCATATAAATTTCATGCTAATTTTATAATAATACCTTGTTCATCATTTAGGATAGCAAAGCTGTTCCCCTTGAATAACAATGCAGGTGTCACTATCAGGTGCCAATTGATTTCAGCTCCACAGGTCTTGCAATTAGTGTAGATTTTTAATTTCTGAATATTGAGAGAGACTGAGTCACAGATGCCATCCTAAATGGAAGCTTGTCTCAATATATATTATTTTACATAAATTTGAGATTGTACTATATAAAATATTTTTAACTTATATTTTTTTTCCACTTCATATTATACCATCACCCTTTCTCCAAGCTATAAATAATTCTTCACAACATGGTCTTTAATGTGTGTTATGAGCTGAATCACGCCCCCTCAAAATCTATATGTTGAAGCTCTAACCCCCAGTACCTCAGAATGCTACTGTATTTGGAGATAGAATACAGAATGCTACTGTATTTGTAAAGAGATGATTAAGTTACAATGAGGCCATTAGGGTGAGTCCTAATTTCATCTCATTGGTGTCCTCATAATATGAGGAAACTTGGACACACAAATAGACACCAGGGACCAGTGTGCACAGAGGGAAGACCGTGTGAAGAGACTGCAAAAAGGCAGCCATCTGCAAGCAAAGGAGAAAGGCCTCAGAAGAAATCAAGCATGCCCACAACTTGATCTTGGACTTCTGGCCTCCAGAACAGTGAGAAAATAAATCTTTGTCATTAAGCCACCCCACTCTATGGCTTAACTACAGAAATTTATTTTCTCAAACTAATACAATGTTTCATATAGTTTATTCAACCACTCACCTACTGTTATGCAAATTTCTCTTTATTAAAAACCCCAATGTGGGTGGGCATCATCTAATTCACTGAGGGCCTGAGTAGAACTAAAAGGTAGAGAAAGGTTGGATTCATTCTCTGCCTGACTGTCTGAGCTGGAATATCGGTCTCTTCCTGCCTTCCATATTCCTGGTTCTTAGGCCTTCAGACCTTATCTGGAATCTACACCACCAGCCCTCCAGCTCTCAGGTCTTCAAAGTGTACCTAGGAGACCAGCTTTTCTGGGTTTCCAGCTTGCAGATAGCAGATCATGAAAATTCCAAGCCTCTATAGTCATATGAGCCAATACTTTATAATAAATCTCTTTATATACACACACACGTATACTCACAATATATACATATATAACCAAATTTAAATATATAGATAAATCTCTTTATGTATATAAATATATTGGTTCTATTTCTCTGGGAAACCCTAGTATAAGTACTTTTAAAAAATTGTTATAATTATATTTATGATCTTTTATTTTGCTTCTTAAATTTGGCATAACATTATAAGCATTATTTCATGTCATTACATGCTCTTAATAAGTGTTTTAATGAATCCATAATAGGTAAGTTCATTAAGAAAAGTAAAACTGGCCAATTATGTTGGCTCGCACCTGTAATCCTAGCACTTTGGGAGGCCGAGGCAAGAAGACTGCTTGAGCCCAGGAGTTTGAGGTTGCAGTCAGCTATGATGACACCACTGCACTCCAGACAATAGAGTGAGACCCTATCTCAAAAAACTACAAAAAGGAAAAGACAAGTAAAACTGAGCTTTCCCTGATTACTATTTTCTTTGTATCTGGTGTTTGGACTTTGTACTTGTTAGACTACAGCTTAAGCTACTAAAAAGAAAGAGAGAGAAGAGAGAAAGAAGAAAGAAAGGGGAAAAGAAAAGAAAAAGGAAAGGGAAGGGAAAGGGAAAGGAAAAAGACAAAACAAGACAGCAGCTTAAGCTGATGGAAGTTCATTTCTCCCTCACACAACAGTCCACAGGCAGGCAAGGGTCCAAGACTGGTAGCCTGGCTCTGCCTTCCTCAGCCTGGCTCCAGTTGGTTGGTGCCTGGGTGGGTGATTCCAGCTCCCATTATCTCCCAGTTGGCAGTTAGTGGAGAAAGGACCTTGTGAGTGGCCTCACAATCCTTTCAACCGCAAGACCCAGGAGTGGAACACATCACTTCTACCGTGTGTCATTGCCCTTGGTGTAACCTTATGGCCACATCAACAATAATGAAGCCTGGGCCCTATACCTCCCTTAAAAATAAAAAAAAATATACTGACTTAAATGACATTTATTGAGTGGACATCGTATGATCAGGACATTGAGCAGTTACTTCATTTAATATTCTCTAACCAGGTATTATCACCAGCATAGTTCCTGGGGGTCACCACGACTCCAGGGAGATTAAATAACCTCACCAAGGTCCCAGCATCTCTTTGATTCAGCCAGAATATAAACCTAAGTCTGTTTGATTCCAAAATTACTGCTCTTCCTGCTATACTATTATTACGCTTCCTTATTAACCTGAAAGTTAAAATTTAGAAATTTAAAATGTTTACTACCAAAAATTCTGAATTTTTAAAAACAATTCTTCATGAAATAAATATTCTCTGTTATGCCTCCAGATACAGGCTTAGTAGAAAATATTGTTAGGTAGTTTTAGAATAAGTTCTGTTTCTGGACTTCTGGGACTATTTAAATAAATAATCGGTATTTGTAATTCTCTCATTTGTTCCCATGTAAATTATGACAATGATACTTACTGTTTTCCAAATGTTTCTAGATCTTATAGAACTTTTTGTGATAGAATGATCTGGAAAAAATATTAACAACCCCCCCTCCCCATACTATTGGCACACTAATGGTGATATTATTTTGCTAGGGGCAAGGTCAAAGGTAAGAATTCTACTGTTTCTTCATATGGTGAGAAAATAAATAGAAACATGACAAGATGTACTTGCTTTTCAGGAAAATTAATGAGGCAATCGATTACACCACTGTCTGCTGGAGAATGAACTGACATTGGACAGTTTCACCTTCACTTATAGAACCGAAGCCTTCACATATGACACTCGGCTTTGTAGAACACAGAGGATCAAAACAGAGGGATTTCTTTGTGGGCAACATAAGTAAATTTCCCAAAAGGAGGGTGGCATCTCCCAACTGAGAGACAAGAAAGAGAGCCTGAGAGAGGGAGCATATGGAAGGTTCTCTTTTTGGAAAACCTAAGCCATAAATAAAACCTTCCCTTTTATAGCTTAAGAGTATGACTAAATGAGATTAGGTTATAGCTTCTGTCCTGTCACATAGTATAGTGCTTTTTTGAGAGCTACCACAGCTTAAGAAAATAACTTTGTTCATTTCCATTACAATGGAGGGCTTGGTCTGGGGAGGACTGTCAGGACAGTGGTACTCAAGGTGAGGGTGTTAGCCCCTCTCCAATCATCACTACAGCAAGACAGTGGCAGGGGCGGGCAGGGTGGGGCTGGAGATCAATTCTCTGGGTGCAACCCCCTCAGCCCACCTACGCCCCCTTTCCACCCACCACCCATCATAACCATGGAACTTCCTTCAGGATAGAAAAGAAGGAACATGTCCACACCAGGCTGCTCATGCATGTGGCCAGCCCAACTGAGTGTGATGGACATGTGAGCAAAATGTTGACGACTTCCAGTTCCAGGTGGCTCCCAGTGGAAGTAGCAATGGTTAATTGAATAGAATGCAAAATCATTAAATAATATGAGGCAGGTTTTCTTGTAAAATTTGACATTAGCTTCTAAAAGGCTTCTACTGATTATGTTTTATTACCTGGTTTGTTAGGCATCTATTGTAAAGTGCTGTTAAATTATAATGAATTAGCTTTCCATCCACAGAAGTGTCTCTGGAACATACTTAACTGGCTCATCAGTGCCACAAATATGTAATTATTTATTTTATTAAGCAATTTTGTTGCCTTTTTTACATTACAAAGTGCTTTTCCATTAGCTTTTCCTGAAGAAAAATTAAGGTACTGTAAAGTGTAGAGTTCTTCACTATGGTTATATACTCACAAAATTCCAAAATTCTAAACTGTTTCTTTGTCTTCCGGATGCTGCTTGGAATTTTACCTGTGATCTATAGATCAAAGACCACAGTGAGAATCTTA